AAAAAAAAAAAAAAAAAAAAAACAACAACAGAAGAATTAATCGCTTTTTTTTAAAAAAAAAGGAAATATTGGATTAATTGGATGTTTGTTGTTCCAAAGAAATAACATTCAATTGTTAAATGCGGCCCCTTGTAATTGCTAATGAACTTGAAGTGATTTTTATTTGAACCCTTTGTGTCATTTGACTCAAAAATTCACTTTTAAAATGGCCCTGGACAATAATATATACAATATAGGAGCAGCTACTTAAAACCGCATGCGTACAACTTCCATGCTATGCTATATATGATTTAAATTAAATCATTTCATGATTAATGAGTTCGTACCCCCCCAAAAAAAAAGGTTTATTATCACAGTTTCGTATTCTTAATGTTTTTTTATGTCACTTATCACAAATAGTCATTGCCGTTAGGTAACAGTTTGCTGACGTGGCATACATATATATCACAAAACATCCTTGAGGTTTACACACTTATCACAAATGGTCCCCACAATTTTTTTTTATTTTTTAATTTAAAATTCATAAAATTTTGGTTTCCTTTTTAAAATTATTTATAAATGAAAAAACCATTTATATTAGGATTTTAATCTTAAGGACCATTTATGAACCCTAAACCTTTAGTTTTTTTCGTTTTTAAATTTTATGAATTTTAAATTATTTTTAAAAACTTCATTAGTTTGTTGATGTGGCATATATATGGAGCCCACAACTACAATAATATAGTGTCACATGTATTTAAAATTTAATAAATATTTTAAAATAATTATAATTGATAAAATTTTAAAAAGAAAACAAAAAATTTATGAATTTTAAATTTCAAAAATTAAAAAAATTTGTAGGGACCATTTGTGATAGGTGTGTGAACCTCAAGGATGTTTTGTGATATACATTTATGTCACGTCAGCAAACTAACAGAGTTTTTGACGGACCTAACGGCAGGGACCATTTATGATCATGCATACTAACTTTGAAGACCACAAATGACCAAAAAAAAACATTGAGGATGCAATATGATAGTTTCATAAACCTTAGGGACGTTTTGTGATAATAAGCCCAAAAAAAATTATTAATGAGTGGTGGCTGGATAAAGGTTTTGGGTTGAGCATAGGTAAAACCATGGTTTTAAAAACCGGATTGCGAACTGGTCACCATCTCTTACAACTTGCATATACAAAAATGGGCGCCCTTGGAATGGAGAAAAACTTGTATATCAAGATAATAACACTGTTTTGTTATCGTTAATTAATAATGTTCAGTATACGTGATAAGGATTTCACATTTCGAAGTGTGATTAGATTGGGATAACAAAACAGTTGATATTCCCGTGACATATAAGTCCTTCCTCTTGGTTTGAGATCTAAAGCGGTCCCCTTCGGTGCCCATACTTAAAATCAAGGGCGAACCTATGAAGGGGCTTAACTCGGCTTTAGCCCAGTGTTTGTTTTGTACTTTAGTCTTCATTGTACAACAAAATCCACTACACATTAAATATTAGCCAACTAATCTTTTAGAATTCAGCCTATTCTAGCCGCCTAAATCAGATTTTATTTTCAACCCACTGAAATCCTACCATATTTTCTATATATATAAAAAAATTATAATCCTACCATATAATATTAATTAGCCCAAAAATTCTTGGGTATAAAAGATCTCCGAAAAAAAAATTTAGCCCACCCCTAGAAAAATTCATGGATCCGCCATTACTTAAGATCGACAATGTTTATAATTTAGACAGTCTTGATCTCTTAGACTACAGGAGTCGAAGAGATTTGTGGTCACTCACCGTTGGATGTAAATTCAACAGTTCACTCACTCTTGCACTCCTTTCAAGAAACTTTTTTAAACCATTAGATTAATATCCAACAGTGGGTAACCACAATCTCTTGGACTCCTATGGTCCAAGAGATCGGGACTGATAATTTAGACTATCATTTGTATTAGAATATATATATATATATATATAAAGCAAAAAGCAGAGAATGGTAAAATATTTAAAATAATAGAAAATGCCTTTGGTTAATGCAAATATTAAGAATTGAAATTATTAATTAAATGAGGATAATATGGTAAATTCACACTTTTTCATATTAAAGAAAATTAAAATTAAAAGAAAAATCAGATAATGGATCCCATTTTTATGGAACACAACTATCCGTTGTCTTCTATAATTCTAAAATAAATTTATTTATTTTTTTAAAAAAACCTCTCGCAAGTGTGGAAGCACGTGTAGAGAGGCTAGTATATATAAAACAAAAGGTAAAGAATTGTGAAACATTCAAAATACCATAAAATTCCCCTAGTTAATTCAAACATTAAGAATTGAAATTATTAATTAAATGTGAATAATATGGTAAATTCACCTTTTTCATATTAAAAAAAATTAAAATTAAAAACAAAATCAGATAATAGGTCATACTTTTATGGAATATAACTAACTCATGTTATATTTTCATAATTCTAAAAATAAAAAAACCAATTGGCATATGCGTGAGCATGTGTCAAGAGGCTAATCTATATATATAAAGCAAAAAGCAGAGAATATGAAACATTCAAAATACCGAAAATGTCATTGGTTAATTCAAACATTAAAAATTGAAATTATTACTTAAATGAGGATAATATGGTAAATTCACATTTTTTTCATATTAAAACAAAATCAAATTAAAAACAAAATCAAATTCCAAGCCATACTTTTATAGAACATAACTACCTATGTTTTCTTAATTCTATATATAAAAAAAAAAAAAAAAAAAAAAAAAAAAAAAAAAAAAAAAAAAATAAATGGCACATATCAGCATGTGCCAAGGGGGTAGTATATATAAAGCAAAAGGCAGAGAATTGTAAAATATTCAAAATACCAAAAAATGCCCTTGGTTAATACAAACTTTAAGAATTGAAATTATTAATTAAATGAGGATAAATGGTAAATTCACATTTTTCATATTAAAAAATAAAATTAAAAGAAAAATTAGATAATGGATCCTATTTTTATGAAACACAACTACCCATTATCTTTTTTAAACCTCTCACAAGCGCGAAAACTCATGCAAAGAGGCTAATATATATATATATATATATATAGACAAAAAAGGTATAGTGAGTTTTTTTTTTGTGATTATATTTTAAAATAGGTGATAGGATTTGGCGATTATATCTGTAGGATCGGTGGCATTAAATTAGAAGAGAAAATGAAAATAAATTTAGTGGCTATGATATTCCAAAATCCCATTTATCAATCCACGTCGGTTTTCTTCTAGAACGTTTTGCCCTTTCCACAAGACAAGACCCTACAGTATTATTGGACCAAACACCAACCTTGCCCACACTTAGCAGAAGTGGTTCTACCATCGCTTTTACAGGATATTTTTGTAAACTTAAAATTCCGCAGTATTCACAAAAGCATATCTCAAAAGGACTGTATGTAACCCAAAAGAAAAGATAAATGTATTGACCATGTAACGCCTAAAACCCTAACTGACTTAAAATGATGTTGAAGCTAATGCCGTGATTAGTTCTGATTTTAACTCCGCATTGCAGTTGTGTTGTGTGTATGATAAATCTCGTTCTCTTGTAGTTTAGATTATCGTTTGCACTCAACAAAACAAAATTTCACACAATTCAGTGTATTTAAAAGAGATGAGACAAAGGTAGTGTCATGTTGAATTCTACTTTCGCTTTAATATAGAAGTTTTGATTCACACAGGATCTTTGATGAAGGCCTATTTAGGCGTAACTTCAACATCATGTTTGTACCAATAACCAACCAAATGCTCCTCCTCTCATAATTCATGTAATGGTGACAACACACCAGTAACTAATTGAGCTTTGTTTCTGATACTCTCCAATCCCACATGACCATGTGGCAACTCCCGATACGTGTTAACCGCTGCCACATCCAGCTCAGCAGTGCTACTTAAAATATTGTTAAGAATATGTGAAGGAGACACATATTGAATTCAATTGACTCAAATAGTATAAATTATTTATTTATTTATTTATTTTGCGGATTAGATTTGATAATTGGTGCGTCTTGGTATTTGGATCATTATCTAGATGGAAATAAATTAGGAAAATAACCCAATAAATAGAAAAAAATCTTTTTTTATAGAAATTAAAAACGAAAATGGGTATGATATTATTATTCCAAAATAAATCATTTTTTATCCATCCACGTCGGTTTTCTTCTAGAAGCTTTTGGCTTTACTGAGAACCCGACAGTCTGGGACCAAAGGACACGAACCTTGTTACCGTTTCCACACGTCGTCAACCCTTATCCTTTTCCTCTTTAAAACAACCAGTCAAACCCTCTTCTCAACGTGTCCTTTAATCACCATTAAAGCAAAGCAAAAATGAGGAAAATAAAAAAGCTAAAAATTTATTTAAGAAAAACCCAGCCAAAACCAGCATAACTAAACTGATAACCATATTGCATTTGAGGTCTTCAGTTCGATTTGCTTCGATTTTTAACCCAAAAAAAAAAAAAAAAAAAAAAAAAAAAAAAAAAAAGATATATATTTAAAGTTCAAAATTTATTTTTATAAAAACCCAACCAAAACCAGCATAACTGAACTGTTAACCATCTTGCATCTAAGGTCTTCGGTTCGATTTGCTTCGATTTTTCTTAACCCAAAAAAACCAAAAACAAATTTGGATATTTTGAAGTTCAAAATTTAATTTTATAAAAACCCAACCAAAACCAGCATAACTGAACTGATAACCATCCTGCACTCGAGCTCTTCGGTTCGATTTCCTTCGATTTTTCTTACCCCAAAAAAGACGGATTTGGATATTTTAAGTTTCAATTTTAAAATGCGTAAATTTCCCAAATCTGTGTGCGGCGCATGGCAACCGTTGATTTACACCCCAGGCTCCATCCATCATTTTCTGTTCGCTTATAAATAGCCGAGCAGAGTGAGTTAAAGCCCACCTCACCATCCATCTTCTGAAACATTCTAATTTTTATCGCCAACAAAAGAAAAGAAAAAAAAATCCAAAAAAAATGCAAATGACCGAGTTAATACCCGGTCTACCAGAGGAACTCGGGCACGAGTGCCTGACTCGTTTGCACTACTCGACTCACCGAGTCGCCTCACGAGTTTGCCGCTGCTGGCAGGACATGCTTCAAAGTCGGGATTTTTACAACCACAGAAAGCAATCCGGGCGCACCCACAAGCCCGCTTGCCTCGTCCAGGCGCTTCCGGTTCAGACCAGGGTTGACGAGACCAAACCGGCTGGACCTCCTGTTTACGGCGTCTCGGTTTTTGACCCTGTGAGTGGGAGCTGGGACCGGGTGGACCCGGTTCCGAAGTACCCACATGGGCTTCCGCCGTTCTGCCAAGTGACCGCCTGCGAGGGCAAGCTCGTGTTGATGGGCGGGTGGGACCCGGCGAGTTACCAGCCCGTGAGGGACGTGTTCGTGTACGAGTTCACGACTCAGAGGTGGACTCGGGGCAAGGATATGCCGGAAACCCGATCGTTCTTCGCCGCCGGCGAGTTCAACGGCCGGGTCTACGTCGCCGGAGGCCACGACCAGAACAAGAACGCGTTAAAATCGGCGAGGGTCTACGACGTGAGGGAGAACGAGTGGAGCGAGTTGCCTGGGATGAGTCAGGAGCGAGACGAGTGCGAGGGGTTTGTATCCGGGTCGGAGTTTTGGGTCGTGAGCGGGTATGGTACGGACAGTCAAGGGGGCTTCGTGGGGTGCGCTGAGGTTTATGAAATCGGGTCGGGTCAGTGGAGGCGGGTTGAGGACGCGTGGCGTGCGGGTCAGTGCCCGAGGTCTTGCGTTGGGGTTGGGAAGGATGGGAAGCTGTTTTGTTGGGGCGACTGTGACTCGCGGGTTCGGGTCGGTACCAGCGCGGTTGAGTTGGGCCCGTGGGCCTTGGTGTCAGGGTCGGCTTACCAAGGCGGGGCGCAAGGGTCATTTTTGGTCGAAGGGCAAAATGGTAAATTGAGGAATGTGGAAGCTCCCGATGAGTTCTCTGGGTTCGTGCAGTCCGGTTGCTGCGTGGAGATTTGAGATTTTCAATTTTTCGAGTTTACAAAAAGAAAATTGAGGGTTGTCTTTTGTGGCTTTGTTTTTTTTTTCTCCCACTTTTTTAAGCGAAAAGATGAGAGTGTATATGTTTTTTAAGTTGTAAGCGGATTTTGTTTCAACTTGTAAAATACTTTTTATTTTGTTTTCCTGAGCATTGTCCGACTCATTTTAGTTGTGTATGACTAGTTTGAAACATACGAGGATGCGTTTGGTTCATGAGAAATACCGTTTGGGCCATCCAAGGTCAGGTCCGGCTTTTGAGTGCCGGAGTGTGTAAAGAATGGGGTCTCTCGTGTTTTGTTCGTATTGGAAATTGATAAAAAAAAAAGTTTATAGGAATAAATATAAAGAAAAATTCATAAATCTGATTACCTTTTCAAATTTTCATGCTCCTCTCCTTTTGGTTATGGTCAATTTCAAAGACACAGAATGTTCTTCCACGGAGAAACTAGGAGTAGGCGATGTTATGCGGTTAAAGAGGAAGAGTGTTGGGGTTTCTACTAGAAAGAGGAATCTTGTTTCCTCATTTAATTTCATCGTGTATGTGTTTTATTTATAAAAAAATTTGAACGCCGATAAATATATATAATATAAATTTTTTTGGGGACCCTTTACTTGAAAGCCTATGGCTATGGCCCTTCCCGCCCACCCCTAAGCCTGGCTCTGTCTAAAGTTTCCTGCTATATGAGAAAAGATGGGAGAAAATAAAACCCTTAATTTAAATAAAGTTTATTTTTAAAGTCTACACACTCCAAATATGAAAAAGAAAGTGATATTTCCTAATTATTTTATTGTCATTATCAAATTCGGGAAATGAATTTTTCTAGTTCTCGTCTTTCGGGAAATTATTGTCATCAAACAAAAGGGATTTAAGAGCATTTGCTTTTGGTATATTTCAACAATGATGTGAATTTAATAATGCAGAGCATAGCAATCTTTGGTAAAGATTCTGTCTCTTTCCCACCTCCAATGACGGGAAAAAAAGTGAAAAAGATCCACTTCCATTATGACACAAAATAAACGGTTGAGAGCCGAATGCCTAAAAACTAAAATACTTTAAATATTTTTGGCCCACCACTTGTCAGAAATGCATAGAGGCGACCGGCGGTATAATTTTGCTCTTTTAGAAAATGCAAACACAAATATAATTAGATTTTTTTCTATTTAAACCTCACACTTCTCTTAGTTCACTCTAATAATTAAATCATTAAACTGTAAGTTTTATTAATGTGTAAAAAGACAAAAAAGGTCATCCAACTTAATAATTAACCCTAGTACATCTATATACACACCCCACACACCCCATAACTCTTCAAAATTAAGTTTAAAAAAAAATACAAACTCTTCTACATCCTATGTCATATTACTTTTCTCTTTTAAAGATGTTGAACATTGTTGAGCCTACCACTTTGAAATCTGCGCGAAAGCTAATGGAAAGACTTGTTGATTGTTTCGCAGTAATGATCTTATTCTCTTCCCTTTGTTGACTGTTTTTTTTTTGTACTCTTAGCTGTTGATTGCTTGATTGTTTTGATTTTTGATTTTTGATTTAAAATTTATACCTGATGTTTTGGTAAAATTGTTCTCTTTCTCTAGAAAGTATAGGGTAATTTGAATTTTTCTTCATATTATATTAATTGACATACACATTCAAAAGGCACGAAACCAAGAAAGTATGGGGTAACTTGAATCGTTGGCTTGATATTTCCAACCTCAAAGAATTTGATTGGTATGGTCCATATCGAGATCGCATTGACAATTAGAAAGAGCTTACTAGTTCATTTGATGCACATCTTAATGTATATTGATCCCTTACTATTAGATGTTTTGTCACAATAGTTTTATTTTCATCCGACTTACTGGGTTTTGTAAACTTTTATAAAGTATTATCATGTTACTGTTGACTTGTATTAGAATTCCTACAATTGTGGGATTCCTACCATATTTGGTTTCCTAGTTTAGGATGTAATTATTCTTTCCTTTACTCTGTAGGGTTGTATAGGGTTGTATATATATACCTTGTTTTTGAGACGGAATTAATAATGATATAGAAAAAGCATTCCTTCTTCTTGGTATCAGAGCGTGGTTAGAAAAGGAAAACACCGAACCCTAATTGTTTTTTCCTTCTGCCGTGTTCCTGATCAATTGCAGCGAGCAACTGTGAAGTTGTTGCTGCCCCCTGTTTTGTCAGTTTGTCCGTATTGTTCCAGAATCCCATCAACGCTGCAGGTTTTAGGCTATACCGACAGCAAGAGAGATGGCTGAAGAAAAGGGAGCCGGTTCTCAGATTGTTCCAGCGGCTACTCCAATTATGGTGCAGTCAGAGAATTCAAGTTTTAATATTGGTATGGTTTTGGATGAAAAGAACTATGATTTATGGGCTCCTCTCATTCAAATCCATATTGCTGGAAGGAAGAAGATGGGATATCTTCGTGGGTCTATCAAGGCACCTAGCGAAGACGATCCTAAATATGATGATTGGTTCTCTGAAGATCAAAAAATTAAGAGTTGGCTTTTGTCTTCGATGAAGCCTGAGATTATGAAACGGTACATTAGGCTGTCTACATCGAAGGAGATTTGGGACTCCCTTAAGGCAGCATACTTCGATGAGAATGACGAGGCTAGAATTTATTCGTTGAATCAGAAGGCATCACGTCTTCGTCAGAATGGCCGACCTTTGGCTACCTATTTTGGGGAGCTAACTGAGATTTTCCAAGAATTGGATCATTTTAATAAAGTATCCATGGAGTGTGAAAACGACATCAAAGTGTTTCAAAAATCCACTGAGAGACAACGAGTCTATGTGTTTCTTGGTGGTCTCGATGATGGGTTTGATCAGGTGCGTGGAGAAGTGCTACGGAAGGATCCCCCACTTGGCCTTCAGGCTTCTTATGCATATGTTCGTCGTGAAGCCGATCGGAAGGAAGCAATGAAGACGGAGGTGGACAAAAGTGAACCCGCTGCCATGGCAGCAAAGGCCCGTGGATCATCTTATGGGCCTAACCGAGAAGGGTCACAAAACCGGCCAGGACAAACTCGGCCTAGCCAGCCAAGCCGGGATCGTCCCCAAGGTAAGTGCCCACACTGTGGCATGCCAGGACATTCCAAGAGTCGTTGTTTTGAGCTGATTGGATATCCCGAGAATTGGGATAGGACCCGTGATCCTCGGTGCAACAAGTCTCGAGCCTCCGTTGCAGAAACCAAGAATGATTCAGACCAAATAGAGGACAAGGCATCTGCCATGATTGCTGCGGCAGGTAGTGATGGTAAGGCACTAAGTACCTCTACTTCTGTTATGAATAATACATGGATAATTGATTCCGGAGCTACTGAACATATGACTTGCGATTCTAGACAGGTTCCATCACTAAAAACATCAACCCAAACCGAGGTCAATGTTGCTAATGGTAATGTCGTCCCTGTTATTGGGGAAGGCACTGTTTCCCTTTATGATACCATGAAACTTGACACTGTTCTTGTGGTTCCCTCTTTAAATTATAATTTGTTGTCTGTTGCTCAAATAACCCTTGCCTTACAGTGTTTGGTTATTTTTTGGCCATATTTTTGTGTTTTTAAGGACATCCGGACGCGGAAGACGATTGGTTATGGTATTAGAAGAGGAAAACTTTATTACTTGGAATTGACCACCAGTAGTTCTAGCTTGCTGACTTAAGCTCTCTCTGTTGATGATTCTCAAGGGGATACTAATAAAGTGTCGGACATCTGGATGTGGCACAGGCGCCTTGGGCATGCTTCCTTTAGTTATCTACATAAGTTATTTCCTAGTTTGTTTGTCAAGACTGATGTTTCTCAATTTAAGTGTGATGTTTGTGAAATGGCTAAGAGCCATCGAACCTCTTTTCCTCCCAGTTTCAATAAAAGTATCATTCCTTTTATGATTGTGCATTCTGATGTATGGGGACCGTCGAAAATAGCTACTCTTGGTGGTGCTCACTGGTTTGTTACTTTTATTAACGATTGCACCAGAATGACTTGGGTTATTTTGTTAAAATCAAAAAGCGAAGTTAGTTCAGCCTTTCAAAGGTTCCATAAAATGGTTGCTGTGCAATACAACAGGAATATCCAGGTTCTTAGAAGTGACAATGGTGGTGAATATGTTAATATGGAACTTCGTTCCTTCCTAGAACTGCATGGTATTGTTCATCAGACCACGTGCCCGTATACTCCTCAACAGAATGGGGTTGCTGAACGCAAAAATAGACACCTGTTAGAAATGGTTCGTGCTTCACTCATTGAGGCACATCTGCCTCTATATTATTGGGGAGAGGCGCTTACGTCCGCAGCCTATCTTATTAATCGTCTTCCTTCTCGTACTATCAACTTCCATACACCATTTCAGGCTCTCACATCTCAGACTAGTACCACCGACTCCCAATCTTCCCCCACGGATCTTGGGGTGTGTTGCTTTTGTTCACCTCCATCCCCATCAACGGCATAATAAACTTGAGCCTCGAGCCATTCGTTGTGTTTTTTTGGGTTATGCTACTACCCAGAAAGGATATCGTTGTTATCATCCTTCGAGTAAAAAAATGTTTATTACTCAGGATGTGATTTTCCATGAGAATGAAATGTTTTTTGGATCCTCCACGTCCTCACTTCAGGGGGAGCACCGAAGTAGTGAAGTTCTGACCCGAGATAATACTGAAGTTTTGACATTTGATTATTCTCCTGTGTCTAGAAATGAGCTGCATGAAGAGTAACCATTGCAGTCATCACGTTTGGAGTACACAGCACCTAGAGAAGGGCAGCAGTCCACGTGTTATGGTGATCAGCTCACAGCATCTGGCAACGGGCAGCAGCCTGTGTGCTTTGGTCATCAGCCCACTGAGCAGGTCCCTGAGGAGCAGCAAACATTGCAGGAGGAAGAGCATCCCACGGGTCCCACGGGGTTTGGGCTTGATGATGAGCTGCAGCCCATTATTTGTAATGGAACCGAGCAGCAACTACAGCAATTGCCACAGGATTTTCCTTCCGATGTTATATCAGATCCAAGTATAAACTCGTCTTATGTTAATTCTCATAACCAATCGTCTTCTACACCGGATGCAACTCCACTCCGTCGCCTTCCAGAGCGTATTAATCGAGGTATTCCCAAACCCACTTACGAGGCAGATCCTAAGTGTAAACACAAGTATTCCTTGAGTGAGCCAAATTCCGATTCAAAAGTGAGATACCCATTAAACAATTATGTGTCTACCTGTCACCTGTCAGAATCAAATAAGTCATTTGTATATCAATTATCTACTGTATCTATTCCTAACAGTGTGCAGGAGGCCTTAGCAGATTCCCGCTGGAAAGATGCAATGAACGAAGAATTAAGGTCGTTGAAGAAGAGTGCTACCTGGGAAATAACCGACTTGCCAGCCGGAAAGAAGTCTGTGGGATGCAAATGGGTTTATACAGTGAAATACAAAGCAGATGGAACAATTGATCACTTTAAGGCAAGATTGGTGGCCAAGGGGTATACACAAAAATATGGCATTGACTACACTGATACGTTCGCACCAGTGGCAAAGATTAATACAGTTCGTGTTCTACTGTCCTTAGCAGCAAATCTAGATTGGCCTTTGCAACAGTTCGATGTGAAAAATGCATTCCTCCATGGAGATCTAATTGAGGAGATTTACATGGACCTTCCACCAGGGTGGAGTGATCCGGACATACGGAAACAAAAGGTATGTAGGCTCAAGAAATCATTGTATGGATTGAAGCAGTCTCCAAGAGCCTGGTTTGGTAGATTTACCAAATCCATGAGAGCATTCGGGTATAGGCAAAGTAATTGGGATCACACGTTATTCCTGAAACGCAGGAATGGAAAGGTTACAGCTCTCATCGTATATGTGGATGATATGGTGGTTACTGGTAACGATCCTATTGAGCAAGCAGCCTTGAAAAAATATTTGTCCACAGAATTTGAAATGAAAGATCTTGGTTCTTTGAAATATTTTCTTGGGATTGAGGTGTCGAGGTGCAAGTCTGGGATATTTCTATCACAAAGGAAGTATATTCTTGACCTGTTAAAAGAAACTGGCATGACAGCGTGCAAGCCGGTGTCTACTCCATTGGCCGAAGGAATGAAGTTGGGTATTGATCATAACCAAGGATCGATTGATAAAGGGAGGTATCAAAGGTTAGTGGGAAGATTGATGTACTTGGCTCACACTAGGCCGGATCTTGCTCATGCCTTAAGTGTAATTAGTCAATATATGCACAATCCGGGAGAACAACACATGAGTGCAGTTATGAGAATATTGAGTTACTTGAAAGGAAGCCTTGGTAAAGGAATTTTATTTCGAAAAAATGGGCATTTCAGAATTGAGTGCTATACAGATGCTGACTGGGCCGGATCAACGGATGATAGGCGCTCGACATCCGGGTATTTTACCTTTGTTGGGGGAAATCTAGTAACGTGGAGAAGTAAGAAGCAGAATGTTGTATCAAGGTCAAGCGCAGAAGCCGAATTTAGAGGCATGGCACTCGGTATTTGTGAACTCTTGTGGCTTAAGTTTCTATTACAAGATGTGGGGGTCAAATGTGGTCAGCCGATGAAGTTATTCTGTGACAATAAAGCTGCTCGTGATATTGCTCATAATCCAGTGCAACATGATAGGACCAAGCATGTAGAGGTTGACAGGTTCTTTATTAAGGAGAAGCTAGATAGCAAAGTAATTGAGGTTCCTCCCATAGGAACGAACGACCAAGTAGCAGATATTCTCACTAAAGCGGTTTTCGAGTGACAAGTTCTCCAGGTTTCTAGACAAGTTGGGCATGTGCAACATCTATGCACCAACTTGAGGGGGAGTGTTGACTTGTATTAGAATTCCTACAATTGTGGGATTCCTACCATATTTGGTTTCCTAGTTTAGGATGTAATTATTCTTTCCTTTACTCTGTAGGGTTGTATAGGGTTGTATATATATACCTTGTTTTTGAGACGGAATTAATAATGATATAGAAAAAGCATTCCTTCTTCTGTTACACCATCTTTCAGAAAATACATGATATGTTCTCCTCACTTATTTATAAGTAGAGTTTGTTTAGCAACGAAAAGGCTAATGTATCTGGCCTTTCGGTTGCTGCTTCAGCAGTAGACATGGTCTATGTATTTGTATGCATATTGGGACAGAATGATATATTAACTGAAACAGCAGGCTATGCTTTCATCCACATGGAGAATAGATAGCCAGAAGCAAAAATACATAACAGTTATGTTCTTATCCCTCGGAACGTCAACTAACAATGCAGGACCTATTGACACAAAACATATATAATCATAAGAAAATATCAGTGACACAAGCAACACAAGTAATAAGCTTTTCCCCCCTGGAAAACCAATTTTCCATGTCTTCAACTTCTAAATACCGAGCAGCCCCACTTTCCTAACTCATACAACCCCAAACCCACCATACAAATAAATAAACTTATTTTCTCCTCTAAAGGTAGCTTGTGGGGTTTAAATAGAAAATCTCTTTTATTTCTTATTTTTTCAGCTTGGGGTGTATTTAAGGGTAGTTTGGAAAGATAGTGGGGTTTACTTAGAAATTGTGAAAATTTAAATTAAAAATTGGGGTGAACTTAGAACATGGGGTGAACTAAGAGAAGTGTGGGGTTTAAATAGAAAATCTCTATAATAAATTAAATTAACACCCTCCCTTTTTCTTCCTGGTAATGAGGGGAGAACCTCAACCAAAAAGACAACACATAAATCAATCCCGCCCTAAAAACCCTAAATAAGCACAGCCCAAAAGATTCCCTTATATCTGTTTTGTCTGTCAATTTACTTCTTAGATTATTTTTTGGGTAAATTAACAAGTAAAACTATACAAAAATGATAAATTTGGGACTCGCCGTCAACCTACACATCAACATTTGCCCTGTATTATGATAGTCAACTCAAACCCAACCCTGTGAAGAAGTAAACCATTATCTCGGCAATAACGAGCCAAGCTAGTATTTGCAGTGAATCCCCCTGTTAAGTAATCATGCATTACGATAGGAACCCTCAATTCTCTGGCAAATACAGTTCATTTCAATGCTAATAGGCAACTCAAACCCAAACCACCCCACCCTAACCCCCTCCCCCCTTCCTTTTCATTTCAATGTACAAGATGCCTACACACACATATATCCAGTTTGGTTGCGGAATTATCAGTAAAGCTCTCTCTCTCTTTTTAATCACAACCCCATTAGCAACCGTTGTGTCTTCTGTGAATGTCAGGTTTAAAAAAAAAATTAAGAATATTTTGGCCACTATCGAATAAAATGCTCTATTAAACAAAAACTCATTCCAATTGGGCATAGCTAAAAGCTTCAAAGAGAAACAAGTTCATGATAAAATGGGGCATTCAACTCATGGTCGAACAAAGAAACTAGAATACAATGCAGCAGTACTTTTAATGTCAACATTAATCCCAGGGAGTAGAATCACTGAATATTTATTTAGATCACAACTTCAAACATAGATTCTTCAACTTTCTGATTAAGCACCTCTACAAAGTCCCACTACTGAGAGTAGTCCAAGCTATGACTCCGGCTCCTACTAAAGCTTCGGCTACGGCTCCTTGAACCATAGGGAGATCTTGAGCGTGATGGCTCCCGGTACCTTCTGTCCCTAGGTGAAATTGACCTGAATCAGAATAAGAAATGCTGAGTAAAACAGTTCTCATAGTTATATTTCCCCCCTTTACTGGTGCATATAGGTAAAAGATCAAAACAAATAAAATTAAAGTTAGCGCATACCTTGAGTACCGCCTCCGCCTAGGAGAAGGTGAATAGCAATCAGGACTTCGAGAGTAGGTTCGAGCATATCGCGGTGAACGAGAATACCGAGAGGAAGACCGTCTTCTATCGTATGACCGACCCCTAATATCAAATAACAAAGAAGATATAATTACAAGACAAATTGGTGGGGGATATGAAGTTGAACAAGTATAAACTGATCACATAGAGAATCAAATTTTACAAATCAAAATTTTAGATCAAAACAAGTCACTAAGATAAACATGATTGAACACCCTTGTAATCCTTATCTGTTAAATAGAAAGACAGAAAAACCACCTAGACCTGTAGCCAATTACTCTATTTAAAAATAGAATACCCATAATGTAGGGTATATCCGTCAACAACAACATTACTTACCTAACACGATCTCTTGCCCTCATTTCTGATGGCTTCTTTCTGTTTTCCTCGGCAAATACAACTGTTACTTCCCGTCCAAGGAGAATTTGCCCATCCATATGGTATTTGGCATCTGCAGCATCAGCAGGGTCTACAAACTGAACAAATCCAAAGCCACGTGGCTCCCTGAACCATACAATAACAGTCAGTATAACAAACAAAAAACACATTCTTCTATCAATGTTACTGGAACCTTCTTGTATTACAGAAAATCCATATATATGGTTGAAACTCCAGCATGTTTTACAATGAGCATCATAAGCACAAATAGCTCCCCAGACTTTATACAATTCAAGTGGAAACATCACTGGCTGCTAACCTTGTTGGAGTCAAGGATAAAATTGAGTTGAAATTCTTCAAGACTTCAACTTCTTCTCAATGTGTTCAAACCAACTTTCTTCACATCTTCATGTACACTAAGACCAGACTTCAACTTCTTCTCAATGTATTCAAATCAACTTTCTTCACATCTTCATGTACACTAAGACCACCTTGAACACTCTTACTTACTTGATTGGTCTCTTCATAACAAGACTCTATATACTTCATTGTTGTCTTCAACACAGTACTCTTATTACTTCATTGGTGTCTTCAACACTTTCAATAAAAACAACCAAATTCCAATAAATATTTAAAAATACCAAAAACAAATTTACTATTCCCGTCATCAAACATGCGGATCAAACCCAAACAGTTGTCACAATTCACAAGTTTTAGTTCAATTCAACCACAAAATACTCCCAAAAATATCACATAATTTTTAAAAACAAAATCCCAGAATTTGCATAGATAAAAAGCGTTCTTACCCGGTATAATAATCCCTGGGCAAGTAGATGTCCTTGAGGGGGCCAAATTGCCCAAATGGCCCACGCAAATCCTCTGGCCTGCAAACCAGAAGCAGGAATATAAATTTCAGGACTTGAAAAATCAGAAGAACATAATTTTCTAATCGATGCAACAAAACCCAATTGCAGGAATATAAATCAAGCACAACCACAAATTTAAATCCTCCAAAATTATTACTATAAAATACATATTCTGCAAAAAATATATATATATATATATATATATATTTCACTCAAAATAATTATAGAAATTAAATCAAAATAAATAATAAAATACCTGCAGTTATGGCGAAGATTGCGAACCAAGAGACTGGTGGGAAGATCCCTACCACGACCTCCATAGCGACCTCTAGGGCTAGGGCTACGACGTCGTCTGCTGTAACCCCTAGGCGGTGAAGGGCTGTAACTATAACTCCTACCCCTCATTTTCTTTCACCTACAACAGTCATCATGGCAAATTACAAACCAAAATCGAATACGAACCCTAATTTCATCATAACATATTAAAAACCGAAATTGAAGACGAACCTAAAGAAAAAGAAGAAGACGTACGGTATCGAGATTTGGGAACGCGATCGAAACTACGGGATCTGGTGTTTTCTGATCAATTGTTATGGTTGTGGCTGTGAATCTCAGATTGGCTTTAAATAGTTACATTCGAGAAGGCTCGGCTGAGGAGGGCTATTTTTGTCTACTTTCTCCGGATATGTGTTTTGATGAGACGTGGCGAAATCCAGCCGTTGATATGTACTGGATGGCTGTGATTGGATAGTAACGTTAGGGTAAGTATGTCTGCATTTGGGCTATAACTTTCAGGCTCATAGCCCTATGCCTGCATTTGGGCTATAGCTTTTAGGCTCGTGGGCTCATGTCAAAGTCTTTGGACATGCCTGAGTTTTAAAAGTTGCAATAATTCTATAGCGAGGGCCTTAGAGCATTTTCATTTAGTTGTCATGACAAAAAGTAAAGGGAGGCAAGCTCACTTATTGTTCACGTAAATAGTATCTGCCTTATAAATATTTTTGTTGTTTTTTCATCCATTGCCATAGCAACTCAAGGGCAATTACTATTCATATGAGATTAATTTTATTTATATATATAAGATTAATAATAATAAAAATTGCTAGGTATGTATAAAAAAAAATATTCTGAATTTTTTTGGTAATTTTTAAGATTTTTTAATTATTTTTTTTTAAGGCCCTCACTATAAAATGACGCATAAAAGTTGTTAGAAACCAATTGGCAAAAGTTTACTTTTGGTCACTATAGTTTGTCGTTTTTACCACTTTAGTACCTATAGTTTCAATTTTATCATTGTAGTAGTTTCAATTTTAACGAATTCAAGGATACATTTCAATTTCTATCAAATTCCTCCAATTTCGTCAAGTTTTGACCATGTGCCCCTCATGTGGAGGTTCAGTCGAGCCATCTAAACACAAACTGGAACTCTTCCTATTCACTTAATGCTTTATTTTGGGGGGCATGGTTTCAAAAAAATTTATATCTCTATGATTTGAAATAAAGGAAAATTGGAAGGAATTTGGGAGGAATTTGGCTCGAGTTTACCAAAATACCCCTCTATGTGAGTGGCACTGGGTCAAAACTTAACAAAATTGAGAGGAATTTTGTCAAAAAATGAAGGCTTTTAATCACAAAACATCATTGACGTTTGTGAAACTATCAAATTGCATCATTAAAGTTTTTTTTGTATCACTCATGGTCCCTAACGTTAATATAGGTGCTCTTAAATAGTTCATCTGTAAAAATAAAATAAAAAATCTATTAATTCTAGGGATATAATCGTCAAATCAATCTAAAATTATAATATATATATACAGAGAGCTTCCATTGAGGGATCTCTCAAACAAGCTTATTTGAGGGACACTGGTTCTAGGGCCCACTCCGGAGTGTATTTCACTAATCCAAACTGTCTATTTTGTAGATAGTCATTCAAAGATCATCTCTACAAAAAATTACTTGAATCCGATATCATTTAACCATTCAATTGAGTTATTGAAATTTTAGTACTTTCTTAAAGCATCGTGTTCATTGATTTTGTATGACACAATTGGATATCGAAACGGTTTTCGATTTGTCTAATTTTTTGTAAGGATGGTCTATGAATGAAGACCTAAAAAATAGATGGTTTGGATATTGGAAAAAAAATTGTAGGGTACCCTAAAGGGCGTCCCTCAAATAATTTTATTTGAGGGATCCCTCAATAGAAGGGGACTGTATATATATATGTTCATGACTGTTATAGTTGGCAGAGGGCTTAGCTGGATTAATCCATTTTGAGATTCCATTGACAAACTCTGTCTCAACTATTTGAGAATCACCAAAGATATCAAATTCCTCCATCACTTTTGCTCCACAATCATCGTCATCCAGACCTACTTCTTTTATTTGTATTCCTAGGATCAATGCTCTCAGCTCATGTGATGATATGTATGTGTTATTATTCTTGTCTAATTTGTGAAACAGCCTACAAATAAAATCAAGAAACGATTAAACTAAAGATAGAAACCTGGAACTTACCCTTGTATAATGGATACATTGGGGTTGCCTCCAACTGTCAAAAGACTCAGTAGTAAGTTTTTTTGTACATATTTACACATCACAAAATCAAGTCTTCTTTTTTGATCGGGAACCTGTAACCATAAACAGGATCGGGGAAATATAAAAAATCAGGAAATTTGGAACATCCGTCGCAATTGGCCAGAGCCCAAGGCATATATAAGTCTGAAGTTGATCTGGAAATTTGACTTTTTTAGTGACGAAAAATCTGAAAAATACTGTTGCAGAAAATGTTTAGCGACGAAAAATTTGATGAACATCTGTCTCTAAAAACTTTTGGTGATAAAAAATCTTCAAATTTCTGGGCAAAACAGCATCTGGGTTTTTATAGTTCAATTTGTTTATGTTATTCCCTTCCATTTTTAGTGCTCACCTTTATGTTATTCCCTTTCATTCATGCTTCCTCTTTTTCTGGCCTCCGCCATTGGAGAATGGGCGTGTCACTGTCATATACCGTGAATTAACAAGCTCCTGAGATATAGCTGCACCAGAAGATTATAGAATCTCAACCAAATCTGGAAACAAGTTCTTATTCTCCTCACTTACAAACACAATTGCTGCACCCTCGTCTCCCAGCCTAGATGGCCTACCAATCTCATGGACATACTCCCTCATGGAATTTGGCATGTCAAACAAAATTACCTGTCTTACACCCATGAGATCAACTCTACCGCCTAAAATCCTAGTGGCTACTTGGAATTGGTTGGAAACTAAATTATATATATTTTATAATTTTGGATTTATTTATTTTATAATTTTGGATTGATTTGACGATTATATCCCTGGATTTAACAATTTTTTTGACAGAAAGACTATTTAAGAACACCTATATTAACGTTAGTGACCATGAGTGATACAAAAAAACTTTAAGGATGCAATCTGATAGATTTGCAAAGGTCAGAGACGTTTTGTGATAAAAAGCCAAAAATGAAATGTGTCATTGAATTGCTTAGAATTAGAAACTGTGAGGATAAAATTAATAAAATTGAAAACAACAAGGATAAAATTGCAAAAATTGAAACAATAGAGGCCTAAGTGGTAAAATCGAGAAACAACAGAGACTATAAATGACTTTTTGCCAAACCAATTTATCCCTTTTTTATACAAGTGATATTTAGGAGATGGAGAAATCGAACAAATGACATTGATGAGTGCATAAGTAAACATTCTTAACTACTAAGGAGACCCCTTACAAGACCAATTTATCCTTTAAATGGATGTAATATATCACAATTATGTCAGAAAAACCAATTATGCTCTTATATATTAAATAACTTAAACAAAAGATTTTAAATATTTGTATTGGTACGTAAGAGTATAATTTATGATGAAGAGGATTTGAACTTGGGTCCAAAGGTATGAACTCAGTGTCTTGACCACCTAAGAGCATGTCTAATGCAAGGACAAAGGGCTAAGTGATGTTTTAGCCCCTCAAAATGGTACTATTCACAAAATACAGCCTCTCAATTTTTTTGCGGTTCTAGTGATGGCGAGGGGCTAGGGGCTAGGGGATAGGAGCTAAAACTCAAAACTTGTTATTTTAGTTTATTATTATTTATTTGTGATAAAAATAAAAATAATAATAATGGTTCAACAACTAGTCATTGGGCTGTTGCATTTTAGAGCGCCACGTGGTAGCTCCTCAATGCCTGTTGGAGTCTTTTTTTCTTTTAAAAAATTGACAATGGGCCCCTTATCTTGGGCGGGTCAGCATGTGGGAAAAACTAACCCCTTATCTTGCCTTAGGGCAACACATGCATTTGAAAGTGATTGTTTTTCATTTGAGGCCAAATCTGGACATAGCCTAGGCCAGATTAGTCTCGTTAGACATGCTCTAACCAAACCCACATTCAAACTCCAACCCATATAATGAAGAATGAATTAGGGTTGGATGGATCAACCTTCGACTGTGCTCGAATTACACTGTACCAATCCAAATAACAATCCATTAGTAACATCATACGTGTAATTTACTCCAATAAAATTTTATAGTGCATTGAGCGTGCATCACCAAACAATATTATTGCATATTTTATTTTGGTCGTAAACGACATTGTTGAGTAAAAAGCCTTACTAGGGATGACAATGGATCAAATCGAGGGTGGGTATGCCATTCCCATCCCCATCTATGCCTTTATACTCGCAATACTCAAATCAGGTATTCCCCATCCCTGCCTTTGTTAGGGAATGAGTTCCCCGACCTCCCCAATTACAAAAAAAGAAGAAAAGAAACTACTTTGTTGAACAAGAAAAAAAGCGAGCACAAGATATCTATCAATTCAATTTCTATTAACTAAAAATCTAAACTATTTAAAAAAAATTATTACATGTTAAAACTATGTCCAAGACTTGATTATCATTATAGAGGTAGCACCACAATCACACATATTTATAATATATTTATATGAAAAATAAATTATATATATTCTAAACAGGGAGTGTTTGGACCCAAATACCATACCCAAAAAATTATCTGAACTCGTCCCTATACCCTTTTTTTATCCTTCATATCCGACCCATTATGATTGAAGCCCTGCAAAGACCCTTATCTGCGGGAAAATTGCCATCTCTAAGAGCATTTCCAAGGGTGTATGCAAATGAAATATGTAAAATTGTACTATAACAACCTAGGTGGCATGTTGCCTACCCATTTGCCTCATGAAAAAAGTTGGTCACTTCAAGGGACTAGGCAATGCAAGTCCACAAATTATTATTATATTATTTATTTTTATGTTTTATATTTACTATTTTTTTAGAAGGATAATTCATTCATAAAACCACTGACGTACAAAGAGTGACATGATACAGTGGTCTCGTTAAAACCTTCCTAGGACAACTTCTTGAGACAAATCCCCAGAGAGGAAAGAGTACCACACATGTCATTAACTAACAAGAGAGTCCAATTCAAGTCACTTTGGACCATTACAATAAAAAAACAAGTCAAAAACAAAAAATAACACAAAGACCTCTGACGAGAACCATAACTAAAGACCAACACAGTAGACCCACATGAGAGACAGAAACCCCAAGTATGTGAGACAGTGGAGATGATATTTTATTATAAAAAGCAAGTGGGACCCGATATACCTCTTCATTTTGAACTAGGCAATATTGCCTTGTTGGGTAGAGTAGGTATATTTTGCCTACCCATTTGCCTCTTCCCTTGGAGCATGAAAATGTTGATGTGGCAAGGCAAATGAGGTTTGCCTACTTTTTTGCCTCTTCCTCTTATAGATGCTCACTATTAAGATTGGCATTTTAAACCGAAAATTTGAAAAACCGCAAATACTGATGAAGGTTTTACTGCATCTAAACTGACATATCATGGAAATCGACTGCAACATGTGGTTTATAGAACCAATTGCAATATGCGGTTGCGGTTCCGCATATCCAAATAATGCGATATACAGCAAATCACAACATAATTTAATTAATTATTAAAATAAATACTTATAATTATTTTATATTAACTAATTAAGGCTAGGACTTCATCATTTAGATGAATGTTTCTCTTTTTTTTCTTTTTATTATATATATATATATATATATATATCTCTCTCTCTCTCTCATCTTCTTCCTCTCTGCGGGACTCACCTAGGCTTTTAATATAGGGAGTTTCACTAAAACACCCAAAATGGGGGCTGAAATTATAAAAAAACCCAACACCCAAAACACTTTATAAACACACCAAAAACTCATCATTACACACACTCAAAATCCATTGACAAACACACCCAAAAATATATAATTGTTGATTTTGGGTGTATTTCTATGTTTAAATAGTGTTTGAGTTTTTTATAAATACATGTCTAGGATTGGGTTTATTTATAAATTTGTATTTAATATATTACTAATGAAGTGTATTCTCCGCCTATTTTTTTATTTTTTTATTTTTTATAATCTTAGTCTTGAAGAAATATCATTGGAATATTTAGTGAATTAATATAACTTAAGTAGTAAATACTTAAACTTTTATCTAGGAGGAACTTGAGTTTCAATTAGTATTGCAAACTCATCGGTTGTGTTGGTAATTTTTTTAAGTTGTTACTAGTGAGTTAGCAGAGATAATCTCTACCTTGCAATAAACTATTTAGTTGATTAATTGTGTATTAGCAGGATTGTGGATTGTATTGGTTTATTTTTAATAATAGAGTTCATCCTCTCCGTATATGAGTTAAAGAATCATTGCCAATGATGGAAGTTTTGCTTATTTCAACAGTATTTTTAAGCATGAGCATACTCTTTTTCTGTTGATAGAAAGTTTTGTAATGTTATGTTGTTTCCTATATCGACAATTGTGGTAATTGTGGTATACCGATCGTAATATGTTGTTTCCTATATTGAAAATTCACGTTTTCATTGAAAAGTTGGGTAACCGAACCGCAACCACCCTTACTCACTATGGCCCAAAAAAAAAAAGTCCCTACTATAAACTTACGACGCCGTTTGACTTGATCCTCCTCACCCACTCGCCCTAAACCCTTGCGGTCTGCTGCTCTATAGACTACCTTCTCAGTCTCCCAAAGCTTGTCTTCTAAAACCTCTAAAACCTCTAAAACCCCAATCCCTGAAGCAATCCACGCATAATATATATACATATCACTCGTTGCATACAGCCACCACTATCGTTTTGTGAAAATGGCGGCGTCTTCCCAGAAACCCCAAGGCAAGAAGAAGGCCAGAGACCCCCCAAAGTTCAACAAGTCCTCCAAACAGCCATTCAAACCAAACAAGGACCGAAACGACACTGCCCGGTCCGAAGCCGTCGCTTTGCAGCTGGAAGACGACGTCCCTGATTTCCCCAGAGGTTCGAACTTCAGTAGTTTTTGTTTCTCAATTATGTGTTTTTATGTTGAACTATATTGGCAATTAACGGGGTCTAAGTTATTGATTTTTTATTTTTTTGAATTGAAGGTGGAGGAAGTGCTTTGAACAGACAGGAGCGCAATGAAATTCGGGCTGAAGTCGATGCAGAATTTGAGGCAGAGGAGCGGGAGATGAAGAAAAGAAAGAAGATAGGGATGCAGAAGAAGAGTCTCTCATCGGAGGACGATTTGGGTTCGCTTTTCGGTGATGGTATTACTGGAAAACTACCTAAATATGCAAACAAGATCACTATGAAGGTATCCATCTGAAAACATAAAGCATTGTGATTTCTAACTTTCATTTTACAGAATTTAAATTTTCTTATGTGCATATATAAATGTTTGTATGTATAAGACAGCTTAGATAAATGACGTTATTACACTCTGACAAGTGAAGTTTTTGTAGTTCACCTATAATACTTAATACCCTTAAAAAAATTATGTAAAGTGTTGTAGATTTTTTGTAGTCTATGCATCATGTGGGATTTTCCCTTTTTTTTTGGGGTTAAAAATTGTTGATGTACTTATACCTGTATGTCTGGTCAGAACATATCTGCTGGAATGAAGGTTTGGGGAGTTGTTGCTGAAGTAAATGAGAAGGACCTTGTAATTAGCCTTCCAGGGGGATTGCGTGGATTAGTTCGTGCTTCTGAAGCTTTGGATCCTATTTTGGATAATGAAACGAAGGTAATGATAAACATTTCTTTCCCTGTAACCCATTGTTATTGTCACTATATCCCATTCTTTATTGAAGTATGTTTAATATATTTTCATGTAAGCAATCTTTACATTTTAATATTTACCAGGCTGTAGCAGATAATCTCCTTGCTAGCGTATTCCATGTTGGACAGCTGGTATCTTGCATTGTGTTGCAGTTGGATGAGGATAAGAAAGAGAAAGGGAAAAGGAAGATCTGGCTTTCTTTGCGCCTATCTTTGTTGCATAAGGGCTTCACTTTGGATTCTGTCCAAGAAGGCATGGTATGTGAACTAAGAAAGAGATAATCTGATCACATAGGTTTTCACTTTCATTTTCGTTTTCTTCATATATTGCTTTTCCTTGATTGATGAATACTTTGAAAGCTTCTGTATCATAATATGAATTTTATAATTGATAAGATTATTAAAAAAATAGTTGATGCCACATCTGTAGTAGAAGGAGAGACATTATTGGTTCTTTATCAATCTTCAACAGTAAGCATCCTACAATAGTGGAGCAACCACATACCATCGTAAAAATGCAGCAACAACATATGAACCCAGACAAGCAATCGACTATAGTGTTTTTCCCATTTTTCTATTTTTAATTAGGAGAATTTGTCTCTGCCTTTGGAATGCACTGCTTTTAAAGTTGAAAGATGCTAATCTGTCCATTTGGCCGATAAACGGACCTGCTTCTTTTAGTTATTAATTTTTTTTTTTAATACTGTGTTGCGCTTAATATTCATGGAATTTAGGTGTAAATGTTCCAGAGTATTTCCTAGTTTTCTATAGTTAGGTCCATCTTTGCTGTTGGCCTGCTATGGTCATTTTGCATTTTTGGGGTGGCCTTCTAAATTTTGCTTTGCCATTGTTTATTATTTCAGGTCCTTACTGCATATGTTAAAAGCATTGAAGATCATGGTTACATGCTTCATTTTGGCTTATCTTCATTCACGGGATTTTTGCCCAAAAATAGCCAAGCTGGTAAGTCGACTTGTACAGGTTTAGTTTTACCAGTTACTTTTAAGTGCCTTCTCCTTTACCTCTTTTTAGCCCAATATAAATCTAAACGTGCACACAATATTCTCTCATGAGGTCCTTAAGTTAGATTCTTAAATGAGATCATATTTCACAGCTGTTATATTAGATAGGATGATTCAAATTTTTTGAGATGCATCTTACTCACGGTGCACGTGAGCTGTCCATATTTGATATGAAGGTTGAGAAACATGAATTTATTTAAGGAACTGTAATTATCGAAATACAAACATGTTTCCATTTATATTGTGTGATTAATTACTCTCTCAAAGTATTATGTGGTTGACTAAAAGTTAGAATTTCGTTCTAGTGAGAGTAACATAAATAAGTATTGTGTTGTAGAAGGCACTGGTTATTGCTGCTGATTAATTAGATAACAGTTCGTGCCCGTTTGACATTGATTACTTGGGGTGATCAGTGATTTTTAAAAAATTTTGGGAAGCCCAACCCGTTTGGTAAACCATGAGAAAATTACTTCTTGTTAAAAATTGCTGTGAGAGAAAGCTATAAGGGAAAGCTGGTATAGAGCTGCTTTCATTTTCTGATTATGCGGCAATCAGTTTGGAGAGGCACTAGAGTATAACGAAAATTTCAGAATTCCAAAAATAACCTCATATGTTTTCACGCTCACGTCTCTTTCTCCTCGTTCTTCTACTTCCCATCGTTTATCTTCACTCCTTCTCTTCCATGTTCCTCAGTCCAGAGCTACTCTTCTCATTCTTTTCCTTCAATTTTTCTTGTTGCATTGTTGAAGCACTCTCTTGAAGCCACAAGAGCTACTCTGCTTATTCTTCTCATTCTTTTACTATTAACCAACGGACCAGTGAAGGATGGTATTCCAATTGATCTGTGAGAAGGTTAAAGTATCACTCATTGGAGATAAAGTGAGAGAGAACCTTGTGTTGTAATTTCATTTCTGTTCAATAAAAACATTTGTTTATTATGAAAAAGAAGATAAATAGAATAGTTAGACTGATTAGATAAACATAGCAGGTGGAGCTTGAGGAAGATGAAAACAAAAATAACATGGATAGAGGTAATTAGGAAAAGTATTGCAGCATTAATGGAAATGTTTCCCAGGAGTAAGTGTTTTTCAAAAAAAATATTTCCCAGGAGTATGTGGAATGGAGGACGAGGTTTCATACATGGGTGGGACAAGGCTTGATTTGTTTTTTCTTGTATACCATATTCTCATGCTGGTAAAAAGTTATTTCATTACTATCCTTTCCTTTATACCATTGAAGAGCAAAAGGAGTCCACTTTCACGTGTAACATACTAACCTTCATAATAAGATCGTGAAATTTTTTGAAGGTCACATGATGGCTAATGGAAATTCACAATACACGAGGTCACAGTAGATTGGTTGAGTGACTGTTTGGTGGAGCTCAATTGAATAGTATGCTTATACCTGTGTTCCTAATTTTTCAGTTGCTTAGAGGATCTTGAATAAAAATTATGGGTAGTACTCAGCATATAGATGCAATTTCCTTCTGCACAAAACCAGTGGACAGGTGGCCTGATATGTTTGCATGTCTTTTTCTTGGGTAAAGAAGATGAATCATTAAGAAGTCCCATTTGTAGCTTGTTTGTGGGCATGTTTTATTGTTGCTTGTTGGGGATTTTCTATAGTTGGAAAGGGGATTACTATTTTCTCCCAACTATTTTACTGTTTGATTGCAAGAATATGAATCTGTTTCAGATCTGAAATTCACAATTGATGTTTTTATGTGGTTTGTTCTATGTACTTTGTTATTATACTATATTCCATTTCTTCGTTCTCACTTGTTTTTCAATCAATTGTGAGTAGCCATACACTGTAGCTGTAATTTCTCATTTCGCTAATTGATATATAAACTCTTTTTCCTCTCCTTTTCATTTCCTGTTAATTCTGTTGTCTTTTCAGATAGCAAGGAGATTCAAGTGAACACTGGGCAACTACTTCAAGGCGCTGTTAGAAGTATTGATAAAGTCCGCAAGGTTGTGCATTTGAGTTCAGACCTAGAAACTGTATCAAAATGTGTGGTATGCCCCGTGCTTTTCTTCAGAAATTCATATGCGTTCCATGCTGCTTGTTTCACTGTCATAGTTTCACAGCTTCTCTTCTCATTTAAGATTTTTTTTTCTGAACTGATATACAGACCAAGGATCTCAAGGGAATTTCAATTGATCTACTTGTTCCGGGCATGCTGGTTAATGCTCGTGTGCTATCCACCCTTGAAAATGGGGTTATGTTATCATTTCTTACTTACTTTACTGGAACTGTAAGTTGTCAGTTCTGTATTCCTTCTATATGAGTTGCTTACAAGAATCATACAAGCCTAAGATGACAGCTTGATAGGCTATGCATATAAATTTTAAGTTCTGTGGTGCTTTATATATATATTTATCCACTTCAATTTTTCAGGTTGACATATTTCATCTGCAAAATAGTTACCCTACCCTAAACTGGAAGGAGGATTATAATCAACACAAGAAGGCAAGTGTTAAAATCTGTAATCAATTTATCTCTATAGTTCTTAGTGCTGTTGATGATTTAGTGGCAATTGGAAACATGAATTTAACATATAGGTGCTACATGCTTGATGTGAGAGTTGTGGTACTTTTTAGCCAGTTAAAGGTGCATAACTATGGAGAAATCGGAAATAAAAAAATGATATATTTCCATTGCATGTGATGTATGGTCTGTGATAAGTCCTTAGCATGGATGCTTGATTTGGGTTTGCTTTGAATTTTGATAATTTGATATGTTTGATGGAAGATTGTTACAAATGGTTCTCCTTTCAAACATGTATGCTTTTTTCTTTTTTGGAATCAACTGCTATGTCTGAGCTGGCCTTCTTGTTTGCTGCATCGCTCTTATCTGGTTTTGCTATAGTAGAAAATTAAAAATTGCAAAAGGTTCTGTTGTCAAGCTCCAGATCATAATCTTGTCAGATTAGTGGGTTAGCCATCTAGTAGACTGTCTTCCTCCTTTATTATGTTTTCCATTTTATGTTATGATGTTTGTATAAGTTATCCTCTCCAAATTGTCCTCCCTGATTAAGTTTTCCCTTGTAAAGTTCGGTTGCCATGTTGGTGTTGGTTCAAGTACAGTACCTAACATGATAAATCAAAGCATTCAATTTGGAAAATATAACATGATTGGCTTTTATCATACACGTTTGTATAATTGTATGTATGTTGTAAATCTTTTAAAACTATTTTGGCGATATAACTTTTTGCTTATAAATTATGGTTGTAATTTACAAAAAGTATGACTCTTGTTTAATTATTTTATTTTATTTTAAAATATTGAAAAATAAAAAGTGCATTATTCATTCAGTTATGGCATCATAGACTTTGGATGTGAAGTCTTAGAAAAAAAAAAAAGGATGTAGATCTGAATTGATTGGTTCATTTGCAGCGTTGTGCTTTTGTTCTTTTGCATGCTTAATCTTCTAATACTTTTGATTTATGCTTTTATTAAGTTATTTAAGTACTATGTCTGTTATCCAATTAATTTTGGTTGATTGAGTTCTCTGTCGTCCTTGTTTGTTAACTTTGTTATTTTTAAGTTTCGTGTTTCTAATTGGTTTTTTTAATCTGTTTTATGCTATTTGGTTTAGGTTAATGCTCGAATATTGTTTATTGACCCTTCAACTAGAGCTGTTGGTTTGACGCTGAATCCACATCTTGTCCGCAACAAGGCTCCTCCTTCAGTAAGTTATTTCATAGTCATAAGTTTCTTAGGTCATGTACTGTATGCGCTGGGATAAATTTTGGAATCAGAAGTTTGTCTTTCCTTTATAAATTTTTAATTTCACTTGTCTTGTAGCTGTAGTCTGTAGTTGTATAACCTTTTTGTGAGCAGGATTTGACTCGGGCACATAGAAATAGGGTAACCGAGTCATTCCTGGTCCATAATTCCATGTCTAACAGATGACTGAGGGCACATGTTGGGTTTTATTTGTCTTGTCGCAAGCAGATGCTGAGCAGGGGTTTCCATTAATGTGTTACCTTGTTTTTGGATTGATTTGTTTCTTCCACATCAATCAGAGTTTATTATCAAAGTTAGGATTATTAAAAAAGAACATGCCTTATTTTTCTAAGAACTAGCGTGGAAATCTTTGGTCATCCCATGCTATTGAAGCTTTTGTTGAGTAACTACCAACATTGTGGATTCCTATCAAAATAAATAAAAAATTATCAACACTGCATGGAACTTTTTCTTTTCACATATTAATAGTTTTTTTTCGTTTGGTACATGTGATAGAGAGAATATTAAGATTTAAATTAGCAAGCTTTTTAAAAAGTGGGACACTCTTCTACCCGCTTCGACCCACCCCCCCTCTCTCTCTCTTGTGGCAATCTTATAACTGCTTATGGAGGCTCTTTGTCAATAAGCTGAACTCATGTTTTAATAATCTGCTGGTTAATAATGTTGGTAAGTAGCATAACTTGCTTGATACTAACATCGTTTGCTTTAATGTGCAGCCTGTCAAAATTGGAGACATATGCGATGGCTCAAAAGTAGTCAGGGTAGATAGAGGGTTGGGTCTTCTGCTTGAAATACCATCTACCCCGGTTTCAACTCCGGCATACGTTAGTGTATGTTCATTTAGTGGCTTTGATTCAGAGACTTCTTTTGCTTACACAGTCCTTATCATTTGGATAATGTTTCTGTTTTATTTATTATTTATTGCGTCAATTATAGATATGTGATGTGGCTGAAGAGGAAGTTCGGAAGCTTGAAAAGAAGTTCAAGCAAGGTAGTCATGTTCGTGTCAGAGTTCTTGGTTTTAGGCACTTGGAAGGACTTGCGACAGGGAGTTTGAAGGTTATGCTTCTATATTTAACCTTGTTTCCGGTGATAGACACTTATTTGATATTACACCTTGCTGTATACTGTATAGTAGATGGGGAGCTGCAAAAGAGTTTTTCCATAAATGAGCTGTTTTACTCTGTCTTGGAATGGTCATTTACCAAACGACTTTGACTTGAACTTCGATGTTCATGCTTTTCTGCTGAAAAAAAGCTTGCGTCTGAGTGGCATGTAACATGTCTCATTTTTCGCAAATGTTGGTATATTAGGGCTAAAATGTTGAAACTAGAACTCATATAGGCATATGGTCATATTAGCCCAATCTGAAGATGGATGCTTTAATTATATGGGCATCTAATGATGGATTTGTGTTAAAGGACAGGATTATTTTCCTTTTAATTAAACTTAGGTAAACTTAATATACAAATATGAGCTGGCCATCATAGGATCCAAGGACGACTTGTTGCATAGACAGACCAAATACGAGCAATCTCTACTGTCTATTGTAAAGCATATGGTCCCAGGGAGGATTTGCTGACATAATTGTCAGCAAGTGAAGAATTTGATTCTTATTGCCAACTTTTATTGCTTTGAATTTGACATATATAAGTAGACCAATCAAGAAAGAACAACTGCACTTGGTAATTTCTTTTTTTTTTCTTCGTATATTTGTATTTACCAATCAGTGGTCCAATTAGAATTTATCGAGTTTCTTTGAGTCATACTTGAAGAACTGAATATCTAGTTTACCTCATTTTGTTTGCAGCTTTGCATGAAAGTAGAATTTGTGTTCTTCCATTTACACAACAGTTAATACATAATTGCTTAGATGCTAGCAATTTTTTATATTTATTTTTTTATATGTTACGTTGTAAACGTCATTGGTGGTTGCAACCGTGTTCCCTGATATTTTCACTGGATGAGCCTTTTAGTGTTATGTAAAGGTTCTTTGTGTTATATGTTGTTTCAGAGTTGTTTGCATGTTGTTATGAAGCAACTGAATGGTATCTGTTCGTAACTGAATATGTTGACAACTCGCTTGTTGTAGCGTTTCATACCATAGACCTTGATTCTATACGTAAAGCTTATGTTTCGACATCTAGAAAATCAAGATTTACTCTCTCTCTCTCTCTCTCTCTCAGCATTGTTAATGTCTATTGATAACCAGAGATTTTGATTGGTGATTTCCAAGTATACTGTTGTTGTGTATTGTGCTTTCTAACATGATGTTGATTATTTCACTTTCAGATGTTGCCCTTAGTTATTTACTAGTTTGTTTTTTATTAATATATACGAGTATGTTTAATTGCTTTTCTATGAAACAGGCCAGTGCTTTTGAAGGGACAGTGTTCACTCACTCAGATGTCAAGCCTGGGATGGTGGTGAAAGGTAAAATCATAGCTGTTGACAGCTTTGGTGCTATAGTGCAATTTCCTGGTGGTGTGAAGGCACTTTGCCCTCTTAATCATATGTCTGAATTTGAAATTGCAAAGCCTAGAAAAAAATTTAAGGTATGTCATATTTGTACCCTTTTAGGTGCGTTTTCATTTTTTATATCCACCCACAAACACACACACACACACACCTAATATATGATCACTGGAACCTCATGTGGATTTTATTTTATTTTGTCAGTTGATGACATTGAGGTGATAATTCATCTTTTGAAAAATTAATTTGGAACCTTTCATTCCATTTCCATGTCACTGTGCAGATTGGAGCTGAACTTCTGTTCCGTGTGCTTGGTTGCAAGTCCAAGAGAATAACCGTTACACACAAGAAAACACTTGTATGTAATATATTTGTACTTCTTTAAATTATCTTATATTCTTTATTGGCTGGCTTAGTATTCCTTAGATGCATCTTGTCGATTTCCTGACAAACCACTCCTACGGAGAACTTAATGGAGTTATCCTCATTAACTTCTTGTGTATATTTCAAAATCTCAATGTTGTTTCTTAACATATTAAATGATGGTATTGTATGTAAATACTATGGTAGCAGAGTTTATTTTCTGGCTCTAACTCCATGGATTTAGGTCGAAGAAAAACAGACTTGCAAGTAGGATCCTTTTTTCCTTTTTACTATCAGTTCAACTGTCAGATCTGGTAAGGGTTTGCTCATATGCCCTCAATTTTGACTGTTAATGTGTAATAATACATAACCCAGGACCACTTAATAAGATTGGATGAGGTCTCATATGTGAAGGAAAAGGGTGGATTGGGAATTGGAAATGCGATATAGTGAAACAAGGGCACATTTAGGAAAGTGGTCGTGGGGGTTTTCCTTTGGAAGATAAATCTGTCGCATGCTGTGATATGGGCTTCAGGAGAATGGTTGGGATGCAAGGTTAGTGGGTTCGAGCCAGTACCCAGGGAAATATAGTTATCATGGTTGGAGATTTTTCTGGCTGCTGTCAGTTAGTGGGATGGGGGACTGAGATTTTGGGAAGATTGTTGGGTAGGGAAATTACCTTTGTGTTGATTTGGAAATCTAGTGCTCCTACTAAGGTTTGTGGTTTGGCTTGGCTCATAGCTCATGGAAGAGCAAATTCGTTTTCTTATATATTTTTAATTACCATATCTTGACCTCATGCATTCTTAGTCATAAATATCAACTATTCATTGGCTATCTTTGTGATCTGATATGTTTTTTCATGTTTCAAAGTAGCCTGGTTCATTTTCTGAAGCAAAGATTTATTGTTGATTATAGGTGAAATCTAATCTTGGGATTGTAAGTTCATATGCTGACGCAGCTGATGGATTAATAACCCATGGCTGGATAAGAAAGATTGAGGAACATGGATGCTTTATCCATTTTTACAATGGGGTCCAAGGATTTGCACCAAGGCAAGGCCCTGACCACTTAGCTTGCAAATTTAATTAGTCTCTTGGACTTGAATGGTGACAAAGTGCATTTTACTTGCTTGCAAGCTGCATGTGGCTTTTCTTTTTCCTGCTTGGTTGGTGATTTCTTTATCGTAGATGTTTAATGGTATATGTTTGCTTAACTATATATTTGGAAAGTAAAGAGTTGCTCTATATCTTTTTTTGGTACTTCATTTGTATTTGGATGTTTGTGCAAAATGTTTGTTTGTTTTCCTTCATCTGATCCATTAAAGCTGAAGAGACTTCTGCATTCTAAAGTTGCATGAGACTTCTCCATTCTTAAGCTGAAGAGACTTCTCTCTTTTGTTATGTTTGTTTCCTTGTTTTTTCTTTCATAAGACTCACTTTTTGTTATTGATTACTTTCTTAATTTGAAACCAGGTCTGAACTCGGATTAGAACCCGGATCGGATCCAAGTTCCATGTATCATGTTGGGCAAGTTGTCAAATGTAGAGTTATTAATTCTAATCCTACATCAAGGCGGATCAAGCTTAGCTTCATAATAAGGCCCCCAAGGTTTGATTTCTTATTCCATGATTAAATAAAATAAAATAAAATGCATTTATCAGTGTTTTTTTAGTAGATTTTGGAGAGAACACAAATGTTCTAATGTATCTATACCTGGAAAGGTGCTGAAAATATTTCCAGTCAGCCGTAGGCTGTAGCTTGATTGGATTTGTACAGTGGATTACGTTTTAAAAATTTCAAAACCAGAACATCTATTTAGATTTTGAATTTTTGTTTACCAAAGAAAAAGGAGACAAGCATGATAGTTTTTTCTACTAATTTAATTAGTGTTTTACTGACAGGGTTTCTGAGGATGATATGGCCAAGTTGGGTTGCCTTGTTTCAGGAGTTGTTGATCGAGTAACCCCCAATGCTGTTTATGTTAATGGAAAAGGTTACTCGATGGGTACAATTTTTACTGAACACTTGGCCGATCACCACGGTATATATTTCTTTGCCTTCGATATTGAATATTTTGCTCTCTTGTATGGTGTTCTCTTATTGTATCTCTTGCTATGCAGGGCTTGCTGCTTTGATGAAGTCAGTTTTGAAGCCTGGATATGAATTTGATCAGTTGCTGGTATTAGGTATGGGAAATTTATTGTCCATATTGACTTTGGGTTATTTATTTATTTCTCTCTCTCTCTCTCTCTCTCTCTCATCCGTTTTTGTTTGATGTTTTTTGAACTGACAATTACAGAGTATTTCGAAATGCATTCTTTTATCTTTACTTCGAGAAATAAAACAATAATAAGAGAACAGAGAGAAGGGTGGATCACCATTCTCGGATTAAGAGGAAAATATACAATTAGAACAGAAGAATCTATGGAAAAAGTTCCATAGAGTTGGAATTTTCTTCCATAAGTTTTTATTCTGCTTTTCTCCTCTACCCCTTTTAGAAAAAGAATAAGCTCTGTTTGTTGACTGTGTTGTTAAATCATGATAAACAACTCCTAAATCCGGAGCAAATTTTTTAAAATTACCTCAACTATAACCAAAATTTTGAGGAATCGAATGCAAGCAAATGAAGTTGGATATTGCAAAGCCTTTAGTTTGTGATATCCTTGTTCATCCTAGGCTCCTAGCCTTGACATTTAAGTCAAATTTGAGTATTTGATGCATTTCTTCCCTGTATGAAACTATCTGCTGTAAGTTAATTAATAATTTTTGTATAAGATAAATGATTAATTTATGTTTTATTATACTTATTATGTGGACAAATTTTGGAAAGAATCTCAGAAGAGAAAAGACAAAAGAAAATAAAATGAATTTCTAATTTTTTGTTCAACAACCAGAGTTCTTAACCTCCAATTACTAATATTTTTTTTTCTCCTGGAGTGTCTAATTTGCAATTATATTCATTTATTATTTCTTAGCTCGCTCAATGGTTGTGGAAATTTTTTGGCACGATAGTTCTTATTTGATATTTCTCTTGGCTCTCACAATTCGTATTATTGTTGCAGTTTTCAATTTCTTACAGTCAGATGAAATCAGTATCATCCTTTATACTAATATTAGATTAATAATATAATTTTGGAAGTTTTTCTTGAATTGATGTAGACATTGAAGGGAACAATCTGATCCTCTCTGCAAAATATTCTCTGATTAATTCAGCTCAGCAGCTTCCCTCAGAACTTAGTCAAATTCATCCTAACTCAGTAGTACATGTAAGCAACTGGAGTTTTCAATGTGTATGGATTGTTTTTTCTCTTTCTGGAACACTTTAGGTTCTTTTTTTGTTTTTTTTTTTTTTTTTTTTTTTGTGTGAGGTGATTGCTTAGTACTTGTACGTGACTTTATCTATTGTTTATTTGAACCAGGGCTACATTTGTAACTTAATTGAAACTGGGTGCTTTGTGCGCTTTCTTGGGCGTTTGACTGGTTTCTCCCCCCAGGCACAAGGTTCATTTCTTCCCCTTAAAATTTCCCTTATTCTTCACTCCACCTCTGTTACATCTGAATCCAATGATGTTTTGTATCCTCTTCATCATTTTATAGGCAATGGATGACCATAAAGCTGATCTTTCAGAAGCCTATTACATTGGACAATCTGTTCGCAGTAATATACTCGATGTTGGTGAACTGTTTGAGACTGATACTTTAAAATTTAGAGTTATTAAGAGACTAGTAAGTAGTAATCATATTTTTTAACTACTTATTTTCTCCCCAGGTTAGTAGTGAAACAAGTCGGATAACTCTCTCATTGAAGCAGTCGTCTTGCACTTCAACAGATGCGTCCTTTATTCAGGAATACTTTATTTTGGAAGAAAAGGTAAACATTATTGGCACCGTTCTAATATGAATCATCTTCCTAAATTATTTTATAGGTTGTTTCATACATATTTCATATCACATAATTGTTATTTCACATTGCTGGAGCCTCTATTAAGATATTTTGCTAGATTTTTAATTTTATTTTATAGTTCTAAATCTTCAAATCTTACTTTTGATTCAGATTGCTAAGATGCAATTGTTGGACTCAAAAGAACCCAAGTCAAATTGGTCAGAAGGATTTACAATTGGCAGTGTTGTTGAGGGAAAAGTACAGGAGGTAAAGGACATTGGAGTTGTTGTCGGCTTTGAGAAATATAATGATGTCTTTGGTTTCATCACACACTATCAATGTAAGTTATTTCACTCAAGGTATGGTTAATTATTTGATTTATTATTTTCTTTCAACTGTAATAAATTTCCTTTGTTTTCCCCCCTCTATACTCTCTGTAGTAGGTGGTACCAATGTAGAAACAGGCTCCATCATTCAGGCAGTTGTCCTCGATATTGCCAATGCAGAGCACCTTGTTGATTTATCACTGAAACAAGAGTTCAATAATAAATTAAAAGAAAGTTCTAACAGCCAAAGTCATAAGAAGGTTAAATGCATTCCTTGTCTATCTCTACTTTTTTTTAGTTTGATGTGTGAACTTCATAATGAATATGTAATGAGGGCAGACAGTAATTATTTTTGAAAAATATAATTTATTTCTCACTAGTGAAGATTTTGTGTCACTCTTTCTGTATTCGTGTTTTATTTTTTTCCTAACCTGTAGATTTGTTGTATTGCTCTACTTTATTACATATTGATTTCAGAAACGAAAAAGAGAAGCTTCGGATGGCCTGGAGGAACATCAGACAGTAAATGCAATTGTTGAGATTGTGAAGGAGAATTACCTGGCAAGTTTTGATGTTAATATAAGTTATAATTGATTTATTCATGTCCTTGGCCTCTTTTTATCTGATTTTTATGATGTATATTGCAGGTTCTTTCAATCCTGAAGTATAACTATGCTATAGGATATGCATCAATCTCTGACTACAACACTCAAAAATTTCCTCAGAGACAGTTTTTGAATGGACAAAGGTGATCATGGTGTTGGTCGTGGTGATAGATATTTTTTCTGCTCTTTATCAATCTGTTTATTGTTCCATATGGCAACGAAGGTTGTGTTCTTGTTGTTTTAAAGAAAATGGCCCAGCAACATGAAATTATATATCTTAATGCAGTGTCAATGCCACGGTCATGGCCCTTCCAAGGCCTACAACAGCAGGAAGGTTGCTTATGCTACTTAACTCTCTAAGTGAGTCCGCTGAGGACATCCAGTTCAAAAAGGGAAAAAAAGAAGTCCAGCTATAAAGTGGGATCTGTGTGTTCAGGCCGAGGGTTAATTTCTGTTTCTGGTTAATTTACCAAGATCATCACCTGTTGGTCATCAACTGTTTGAGTTATATGTGGTTTTTTTTTTTTTTTTTCCGCTTTGATTTGTTTGGAACAATATGTATGAATACAAATATATACCTATCTTTTGGACTGGTTAACTACTCATGTATTGCACTTATCACGTGTTGCCACAATCCAGATTACTGAAATAAAGCCTCTTGAACTAAGATTGAAATTTGGAATCGGCTTTCATGGGCGAGTTCATATAACAGAGGTAAAATTTATGAATAATTGAGTTGAACTTTTGAAAGTTTAAATTTGTACCTTTTAAAGTAATTTTTTATGCAATAACCCTTCACGCAGGTAAATGATGAGCTTCTGGAAGAACCATTTAATAACTTCAGAATTGGGCAAACAGTGACTGCAAGGATCGTTGCTAAGACTAATTATTCAAATAGCAACAAAAAGAGCTATCAGTGGGATCTTTCCTTGAAACCTACCATGCTAACAGGTAAATTTTGATCTAATTTTTTGCTTGAATTAGTATGTTTCATTTGATTGTAATGTCTTGCACAGACTGATGGTTGCTTAAATTTTCTAATCCTAATCCAAGCCTCCTACTTAATAAATGTCTATCTTCTTCTCAAAGAAAATAAAATGTCTATCTTAGATGTATAGTAATGTCTTGGACCACAAAATCTTGGGTCATCATAGCCATAGCAACTTTGTTTTTAAAAATTTCCTCAACTTGTATGACACTGTCAATTGTAGTTCTCCATTCTAGAAATAATATGCTATTCATTTAGCTTCTCCCTTGCGGTTCTCTTTTAAAAACT